GTGGACCTCAAACTTGAGGCATCTGTCGCATAAACTTTCAATGAAGGGAGGGTCGGAATAACAAACATAGAGCACGATTTAATTGTCATCTCTTCAAGCACAGGGAATTGCTTTTCTCCTTCCTTTTTCAGCAATCCTTTTAGATTACTAAAGTCCCATATAACAAGTTTCCTCAAGGATGGAAACCTCCCAGAATCAACATCAACATCAACATACTCCACACACCCAGATTGTAACTCTAGACTTTCTAGACAAGGCAGCTCACCAAAGGGTGGTAAGCATGAGCAGTTTCTAGACACTCATGTGTCTACTTGTTCAAGTTTATACAAGTTTAAGTGCCTACTTGTGCATATCCAAAGTTGAAGGGCATAAATGTGAAATGAGGTCAAGTTAAAGGGCACATCTATATATTATGCCAAAGAAAAAAACTACAGTAGTTTGGCTGTTTAACAAAACACTCTTGGTAATATAGCTATTCCAGTAGTGTTTATCAGTGATACAATCTTTTGTGTTGTACTTAGTAGTTCAACTTTGTACATAAATAATAGTTTTGGGAATTTGTACTTTCTAGGATGAAATATTTTTTGTTTGACACTCCAGCTAAATACTAGTTTCCTTTTATCCACAATGAAGTCACTTGTACAATTTGCATCACCTATTCCTCCTGGCAGGAATGTTACCTGTGTGGGAGACTCAAGTCACAAACAAAGAAACAATTACAAATACTAATTGTTACGAATATCCAGATACGGAATGTGAGCAATTTTGTGCTAGTCTTCTCCTATTCCCTTCTCACACCGCTTGATCAGTGTTGGACATCCCCCAACTGTTAAACTTGTGAGGACTGTTAGGTGCTGCAATCCGTCCGGTAAACATTTTAGCATCTCACAGTCATAAACAGATAACAGAGTGAGTGAAGTTAAACCTTTAACCCCTTCCTCGGGGAGACTCTCTAGTAAATTAAAGAGATTTTCAAGTATTTGAGATTTGGAAAGCTTTTGAAAATCTCTTCTGCGAGCGAAGTTACTTCATTGTTATGGATAATATGGAGGGAAGTAAGATCCCTAAAGTAAGAAGAAAGGGTCGCATAAACAAACATATGGCAGTCAAAAATCGTCATCTGTTCAAGCACAGGGAATTGCTCTTCTCCTTCCTTTTTCGGCAATCCTTTCAGATTATGAAATTCGCCTATAAAAAGTTTTCTCAGAGATGGAAACCTTCTTCTTGTAGGGAATCCAGAATGAACATCATCACCCTCTTCAACATATTCCAAAGACCCCATTAATAACTCTAGACTTTCTAGACAAGGCAGCTCCCCAAAGGGAGGTAAGCCAGAGCAGTTTGCACAACTTCTAATTGTAATAGAGACAACATTTCTCAAAACTGAGTGATTCATCCAATCAGGGAAACGGAATCCTCTGAAGCCATTGATTGTTAAACAAGTCAGATTGGGATGTGGTTTGAGGGCTTCAATTACTCTAACTTCCTCTGATTCATATATATGTGGTCCTTTCCAACTCCAATTTCTGATTAAAGAGTGCAGATTCCCCTTTGTAGATAAATTGGCTTCTTTTGCCTCTGTATCATTCTTCACTCTCTCAAGATGTCTGATTTCAATTGAGCCATAGAGATTTACATCTCGTAGTTTACCAAGTTGATAACCTTTCTTCTGAATCCCCACAGCAAATCCACTTAGAGTCTTAAGGCATGTCAAAGATCCTATCCTTGGTGGCATAGAATTCAATTCATCGCAACCATGAAGTAAAAGATTTCGAGGAGTACCAAGTTTACTTGTTTCTTTTGGCAAACAACAAAGTTGACGGCAATTATGTAGATCAAGAGTCTGCAGATTTTGAAGCTTGCATTCAGCAACTCCTGAAGCTTCTTTTGAAGTGGAGCCAAGTCCATCTCACCAAGTAGTGGCCTTCCTTCAATAGATTCTACAATTGCCTTTATTAACCTCTTCTCATCAAAATCTTCCGAGACACAAATCCATATTTTGGAATGGAAATGCTCAGTAACTCTCTGGTCATTGAAGACCATTTGGGCAAGAGTCGTTTTTCCTAGTCCCCCCATATCAAGTATTGGGAGGACTGAAAAGTGTTGGGCATCACTAACATTGTTTATCAGGATTTTCACTATCTCATCTTCCTCTTTGTCTCTTCCATAAACTTGCGGTTTGGTTAATACAGAACCTGGTGCAAGCAATGTCCACATGAGAATACTATTACATTCAAACTCATTAGGAGACAGCAGAAAATAGAGAATATTTTTGCACAATATACTCCTGTTCTATCAGAAATACTTTAAATATATACCTATAGTTATACTTTTGGTCCAAATTAAATATATATCTCTCCCATTATTCTTTCAGTCCAAATATACCCATCCTTTATTCTTTGGGACAAATTTGCCCTTAATCTTGACGGAATGACACGTGACAGGCACATAATCAAATAATTCACCCCCCAATGCTTTTAGGTTGCTCCTCCGTGTCATGATTTGAATTTGGTAGCGTTATTAGAGGATGATATTGTCACTCTCTTCCAACTTAATAAGTTTCTATTCTATTTGTAATTTTATTGTTTTTGATAATATTCCATTATGGCACCTTGATATTATTTTGCTGAACTTGATACTCTAACGAAAGAAATGAACGATGGAATTCTATGCTCCAACTTTATTCCCTATATTTCACTCGGAAAGAAATCCAGCGTAATCACTAACAAGGAGAAACATGCCTAATCATTTTTTTTCTTTGTTAGACAAAATTTACACTCAGCTGTCTGGAAAGGCTACCGTCGTTGGGATTAACATGCCCTGTTTTTTATGGGATTAAGGACCCAAGTGCAGCACATAGAGAAACAGAATAGAAGAAAACCTCTTTTCTCTGAGCTGCTTTGTTAAGAAAAGCAAAACGGATCGAGTGTTCCAAGTTTATAGGTAAAGAAAAGAATTCAAAGCAAAGGGAATGGGTAGTGGATGAGTTAAACAGGTGGATTTCTAAAGAAGGGTATATTCGGATCGAAAGTATAACGAGAGGTATATTTAAACTATTTACGATAGTACATGAGTATATTTGACCCTTTTCTGAATTTGATAATTGCCAAAAAAATGAATATAAACTAAGTTGTTGTAATACTAATTTAAGATGAGTACCTGTTTCCCGTCTAACAGCTTGTCTCTCTATAATTTTTTCGTGCAAATGAAAATTCTTTCTTTCCTCTGAAATTGCATTTAGGTTTTTCATCACTTGGTCCATCCTTTTCCCGACCTTGTGACGGAAAGGGATAACGTTTGGATGATAACGGCCATATGCAGACTGGGAGAATCATGTGGCCTTAGTTTTATATTCATCCAAGATGTCATCGACTTCATATGTAGCAGCGTTGAGTTTTTGCAACCAATTTTCTAGTGGCTTGTTGTTGTTTTGCTTCTCCTGAGCATCTTCAAGGACGGCTTGGATTGTAGAGAATATGCTTGAAAGCCTTTGGAATTCATTTTGAAAACCAAAAAGCAATACAAGTTCCCCTTTGAGGAAAGAAGTAAGATTGTCTATCAGAACTTTAACGAAAGCTTCAGCCATATCAGATATGTGGAGTATATAGAATTGTAAACAATGAATAGCTAGAATGGGAATTGTAAACAATGAATGTGTAATTGGTAATTGGTTTGCATATTCTGGAAACTGCTAGCTAGTTTCATATCTGTCTTTTCTTGTGGAGTTGGTTTGTCAATAAAAGTAAGAAGCACACTTTGTTTTTTTCAATTCAATATTCAATCATTTAGCTTTATCTGCAGAATTTTTTTTCAAAAGAACACCACTTTTTATCTTGCCAATTTCTCAATTAGTCCAACTTATTGAATGTGTAAATTTGGTGGTGGTACCTAAATTAATGTTTTGCTGTATAAAATGTTTACAATGCTTAAGAACGTAAAGTGTATTGAATGTGAATTAAAGTCATGATAAAGGAATTAACTCTAACACAAAGTTAAGTTGAAAGCTTGTATTAAGTTTTCGCATTAGTTTATACAAGTGTCAAATTCAAACAAGCATATCTCTTAGACTATGAAGAATTACGTGGACCATAATCTCTCAAATGAAAGCCCTTGTCAACCATCCAACTGTTATTCAATTCGAATCTAGATCAAGAAGTTATGATCATTTTAGTGAAGCACTATCAAACAGCCAAAGTCCCGATCGAATCACTTAAGTGGATTTTACGGACTGCTGAAAGTAAGAAGCACAAAGGTTAAGCTGATGGAGTTGTAATAATTACAAACTCAATTATTCCACCACGGGGCCTCCATGTTTCTCAATTATTTGATTTTGTTTTTCAATCCAATAACCAACGGTTGCTTTTGATTTCAAACATTTTTTTGGCATCTCTTTTATTCAGGCGTAATGTTTCCACAAAAACGTTTTTCAAAAAAAAAAAAAAACACTGCTTTTTTATCTTGTCAATCTCTCACTCTCAATCTTTTACCAAATTTATCTTCTTCGACCTCTTGGAAGAAAGACCTCAAAAATATAAAATTCTTTCCATACTTCATTACCAACCAAATTTTCTTATGATAAAAGAAAACCGTGTTCCATCCAGAGAGTGGTGAGATATTTCTTTTTCCATTTTTTGGTCTTTTAGGAATCAAGTGGACGGTGATGATAACATACTCCGTCTCAAAAGCACACAGTTTCTCTAGTTGTCAACTTGGTGCTTCCTTTGCCATTCCTTTGAGTATATGCTTTTGAAAAATGAAACAAAAATCTTTCTTGATACGTGGTACACCAAACAAGAAGCTAAATAGCTAAGCCAGTCACCGATGTGATTTGGCGTCTTTTCCATGTGACACAACATTTATTCAGGAAGTGATGATAATCAACAACATTACTGTTCGCCAAACATTAACAAGTATAATACAAATGGATCTTACAAATCATTGATTTGTTTTCAAAATAAAATCAGAAAATTACATACAAATAAGAAGTAATAGATTCTCAAAGCGTATAATACATATAGATTGTTGATTTGTTTCCAAAAGAAAATTGCATCCAATGAGAGAGACTCACAAACAAACATCCCTACAAACAATTACAAATAGTACTTAGGAATGCATTTTCACATTAGGAATGTGTGCAATTTTGTGCCAGTCTTGTCCTATTCCCTTCTCGCACAGCTTTTCCACTATTGGACAACGAGTAATTGTTAAAGTTTTGAGGGCTGTTAGGTGTTGCAATCCCTCCGGTAAACATTTTAGCATCTTACAGTATTCAACAAATAACTTTGTGAGTGAAGTTAAACCGTCCAGCCCTTCCTCAGGGAAACTCTCTAGTGCGTCACAATGGTCAATTGTCAGACTCTGCAAAGCATTGAGACTAGCCAGACTGGTAGGCAGCTCTTTGAGATTCTTAAAGAAAGAGATTTGCAAGGTTTTTGAACATCTCTTCTGGGAGTGAAGTAGCTTCTTTGCTATCCCTAATGTTGAGGGAAGTAAGAGCCCTAAGATTAGATATGGACCTGAAACCTGTTGCATCTTCCTCGCACACAAGTTCCAATTTCTTGACACAAGAAAGGGTAGGAATAACAAACACAGGGCACTTCTCAATCTTCATCTGTTTAAGCACAGGGAATTGGTCTTCTCCTTCCTTTTTCAGCAATCCTTTCAGAGATGGAAACCTTCTTCTTGTGGGGAATCCAGAATCTTCAACATACTCCACCTCCACAGACCCGTCTTGTAACTCTAGACTTTCTAGACAAGGCAGCTCACCAAATGGTGGTAAGCACGAGCAGTTTTCACAACCGTTAGTTAGAATAGAGACATCATTTCTCAAAGCTGAGTGATTTATCCAGTCTGGGAGACAGAATCCTCTGAAGCCACTGATTGTTAAAGATTTCAAATTGGGGTGTGGTTTGAGGGCTTCAAGCACTTTAACTTCTTCTGATTCATACCTATGCGTTCCATTCCAAATCATGCTTAATGAATGCAGATTCAATTTTGTAGATAAGTTGGCCTCTTTTGCCTCCATATCCCTCTTAACTCTCTCAAGATGTGTGATTGAAATTGCACCACGGAGGTTTAAATTTCTTAGTTCACCAAGTTGATAACCTTTCCTCTCGCCCACTACAAAGCAATCTAGAGTCTTAAGGCATGTCAAAGATCCTATCCTTGGTGGCGTACAAGTCAATTTATTGCAATCATTAAGTAAAAGATTTCAGAGACTACCAAGTTTACTTGTTTCTTTTGGCAAACAACAAAGTGACCTGCAGCCATGTAGATCAAGAGTCTGCAGATTCTGAAGCTTGCATAACTGCTTTGGAAGACTACGAATTATAAGATTGCCAGACAAGTCCAGGTATCTTAAATGTCCTAGATCTCCAATGGAAGAGGGTAACGACTCAAAGTGTAATTTACTTAGATTAAGCACCCTCAACGAGACAAACTTTTGCAAGAGATAAGGAGGTTTAAAAGGCACCAATTCAGCAAAACCAATAGGCATTCTATGTGGGTAAAATCTTTCAATTAATTCGCGGATATTGCTGCTTGATGCGCTTGCCGAAAACAGAGATGTAGCCAAATCATGGATGAGATCATGCATCTTGAAATAAGTATTACCATATCTAACATCAATCTCTTGGAAAAAAGACCTCAAGTATAATTCATTCCATACTTCATTACCCATATCCTCTAGCTCCAAGCTTCTTCTCGATAAAAGAAAGCCATGTGCCATCCAGAGAGAGATTACCTTCTTTTTTTCCATTTTGGTGTCCTTTGGGAATACTGCACAATACGCAAAGCATTGTCTCAAATCAAGTGGAAGATGATGATAACTAAGCCTTAAGATAGGCAAAATAGACCTTTCCTCTTGAGGTAAATTCCAAATATCATTGTCTCTCACATGTTCCCATTCTCTTTCTTCTCTCTTGAAGCGCAAAATACCTCCAAGAGTCTTGGTTGCTAGAGGCACACCACCACTTTTTTTCACAATCTCCTTTCCGATAGCCACAAGGTTGGGATTTATTTCTTGGTGTCCAAATGCACATTGCATGAACAACAACCAACAATCTGCTTGAGACAAATTTGACAACCGGAATGGTTGCAAAGTTCCCATAATTGATCCAACCTTTTCAAGACGAGTAGTGGTTAAAACAGAAGCACCACTTGCTCCAACCTTCAAGACTTGTCTTAAATTAGCCCACTTATCTTGATCTTCATTCCAAACATCATCTAAGACAAGCAAGTATCTTTTTCCATTCAGGAACTCTTGAAGCTTCATTTGAAGTGGAGCCAAGCCCATGTCACCAAGTGACATTCTTTCAATAAATTCTACAATTTCCTTTATCAACCTCTTCTCATCAAAATCATCGGAGACACAAATCCATATTTTGGGATGGAAATGCTCAGTTACTCTCTTATCGTTGAAGACCATTTGCGCAAGAGTCGTCTTTCCTAGTCCCCCCATACCAACTATTGGGAGGACTGAAAGGTGTTGGGTATCACTAACATTGTTTATCAGGATTTTCACTATCACATCTTCCTCTTTTTCTCTTCCATAAACTTGTGGTTCAGTCAAAACAGAACCTGGTCAAAGGTAATTACAAGATTTTAATTTTTTATGTTGTATGTTTAAAGTAATTTACAAAATATGCACATGAGGAAATGGGGAGAAGGCGTAATGGAGATGAGCCAAGTCCGTAAAGGAATTATAAGGTTAACAAAGAGTAATAAGCTTTTTTTTCCCTTTCTACCATAATGTGTGAATATATGATTAATGTTTATTAAATTTTGGGAAAATGCATAAGTACCCCCAACATATGCCCCAAATCCCAAAGACACACTTATACTATACTAAGGTCTTATTACCTCTCGAACTTATTTTATAAATAATTTTCTACCCCTTTTTGGCCTACGTGGCACTATCAGGCAGATAGCTTGAAAAAATTGTCAACACACGTTGGGCCCAGAAGATAGTGTCACGTAGGCCGAAAAGGGGTAGAAAATTATTTATAAAATAAGTTCGAGAGGTAATAAGACCTTAGTATAGTATAAGTGTGTCTTTGGGATTTCGGGCATAGGTTGGGGGTACTTATGCATTTTCCCTTAAATTTAGGTAAAATAGTCTGATATACTCTTCAATTTTGTCATATAGAGTTGATATGCCATATTTATAAAGTAAATCACATATATTTCTACCGTTATAAAAGTGATTCACATATGTCCTTACCGTTATAAAAGGGGCTCACACATACCTTTTTATCTAATAGAAGTGAAAAATTAATTTTAATTTACTTTTGTGATTTTTAATTTTAAGAAAATTCATGTAGGGTATATATGATCCTTATCGCACAAGTTTTTTTTTTTTGACTTTATTTATTATCATTATTTGAGCTTCTTATTCTCTTTTTTTTTTTCTTTCATTCTTTAAGAAGTAAAAATATTAGAAATAAAAAAAACGTGTGAATTGAAAAAAAGAAAAAAGTAGCAAAATATTGTTAAAAAATTGGGACATATACGATAAATTTAACAAGAAAGTTTCTGAATTCAATTTCAAGTTGTATATCAGAATTTTCAAGAATTTGAAAAACAACAAGTTAAATTTGTATTTATAGCCAAATACAATCCCTATTTTCAAGTATTATTCCACTTTGAAAACGAAAGTTACCAACGCCTATAATACAAAGTAGTTTTTATTGTAAAATTTGAAAAAGTCATTTCAGCCATATTTCATTGTGAAGTTTGAAAAAGTTAGTTTTTATTTTTAAAGTGCAAAATGATATTCGAAAATTGGAGTTATTTTTCTACCAAGAATACAAATAGGAGTTGTTTTTTACTTTTTGTGATTAGTTGGAGTGAAAACACATTTTGTTACTTTTCAAATTCTTGAAAATTATGCAACTCCAAAATTTTATGACCAGACATATTTTCAAAGTTCAACTCCCCCAAAAGTAAAAATATTTCATGAACAAACTCTCCTTAATAACATCAAGAGATGGGGAGGGTGGGGAAGTTAATTAATCTCTATTGAATATATATTTAAGGGAAAAGATTTATCCAACTCTTGGTACATTTTCAATGTTCAATGTTGCAGGCATATATTCATTTTAAAAAGTTAATTCTTTGTCACTCTCTGATAATCTTTATAGGATGTGAGTAGGTTATGAATATCACATCAAGTCACTAAATAATCATGACTTATCTTTTACATTTAATTTTATGTTAGGTGCTTTGATTTTTTTAATTTTCTATTGCAAAAGTATAACCTCCAAAGTAATATATCACAACTTAATTTTCTCTTCTCCCAATGTCCTCTATAAAAATATGAGATTCTTAATATTAATGAATCGTACATGACACAAATATACATTAGGTGAGTGGCAGTACGGGCACCAAATACCAAAAAAAAAACTCTAACTTCTATATTTCGTGCATAATTATGTTAGAATATAATTTAAGTATTTTTTTCAGCCTGATTTACAATAAATATATCTTTATTTTTTTATTTTTACTGCAACATTATTTATACATAAAGAAAGTCACATAGTTTATGATCAAGTAAACTTAATATTGTTGGTTGAACCAATAGTTATTGCTATAAAAATAATTGAATTTAGTATGAAGCTATGATAATTCGATTGTCAATTAATTGACAATATTCACATCAACTTTTATGTTCCTCCTTTTTTATTAATTGTTTTAAATTTTAATTGTAGATTGAGAATGACTCTTTAGCAATTTTTCTAAGTAGGCAATCTCAAGATCGTAACTTAATTTGTGTTTCTCTTTTTTATTACATTATTTATTAGAATATTTATCAAATAATATAGGGAAAAGGTACAAGTACCCCGCTAGACTATAACCGAAATCTCAGAGACACACCTTAACTAAACCAAGGTCTTATTACCCCTGAACTTATTTTTTTTGTAATTTTGTGCACCTTTTTGGCTTACGTGGCATTCAAATATCTCCCACGCGCCTCAATTGCGTGGAGTCACGGAATGTGCCACGTAAGACAAAAAGGTGTACAAAATTACAAAAAAAAAATAAGTTTAGGGGGTAATAGGACCTTAGTTTAGTTAAGGTGTGTCTCTGGAATTTCGGTCATAGTCTAGGGGTACTTGTGCCTTATCCCAATAATATATTAATTATTCAAAAATATATTTAATCTTCTCTTATAACCACGGGAACAAGTACACTAAGCAGGATTTCCTAAGCTTTTCTCATTTATGAAATTACTTAGTAATCATTGAGTAGCCCTGTATTGAATTCACAATTTTGTTTGTCATTTTTAAATGGCATAATACATAAATATGCTCATTAACTTGTTTTCAAATTATATTTATGTCCTCAAACTTTGAGTTTGCACAAGTAGACACTTAACCTTTTATAAAGTTAAATAAATAGACACACGCGTTCTACGTAGCATCCTACTTGACAATTTGGGTTCTATATGGTGTCCTATGTGTACTATGTCACGTAGGACTCATGTGTCTATTTGTTCAACTTTATACAAGTTCAAGCGTTTACTTGTTCACACCCAAAGTTGAAAGTCATAAATATGAAATGAGGTTAAGTTAAAAGACAAGATGTCCACCATGGATCCCCCTCCCCCCCAAAACCCAAACATACACATGAATTTGATAATTGCCAAAAAATGAATTGTAATACTAATTTAAGATGAGCACCTGTTTCCCGTATAGCTGTTTGTCTCTCTATAATCATTTCTTGCAAATGAAAATCCATTCTTTCCTTAGCAATTGCATCTAGTTTCTCCGTCATCTCTTTCATCCTTTTCCCAATCTTATGGCGGAAGGTGATTATCCCGGGATGATAGCGTCCTAATCGAGACTGCCTGAATCTTGCTGCCTCATTTTTACATTCGTCCAATATGTCATCAACTTTATATGCAGCAGCATTGAGTTTCTGTAACCAGTTTTTAATCGCCTTGTCCTTTAGTTGCTTCATCTGAGCATCTTCAAGCACAGCTTGGATTGTAGAAAACCTGCTCGAAAGATTTTCAAACTCATTTTCAAAACCGAAAAGCAATGAAAGTTCCCCTTCAAGGAAAGAAGTGATATTTTCAATCACAATTTGAAGGAAAGCTTCTGCCATATGTGTAGAGTGAAATTAAATTGTAACACAAATAAACAATGAGTTCAAAATTATTGCTTTGTGTGCCATGAATAATTACTTGTTATAAATACACTAATGGGAGATCAATAAATATATACTTTTCGTGTCATGAAAATTGCATATGGAATCTCAATATACTTTGCTTTCCCTTTAATTTGTAGGAAAAAAAGGATAAATATATCTCCAAACTACGTAAATGGTATGCAAATACCTTTCGTCATATTTCTGGGACATTGGTGCCATGTCATCCAAAAACTATAGTATATATGTCCTTCACTCTAACGGAAAACTAAATAAGGACACGTGGCACAATCTTATCCGTCAATCCAATATTTAATAAATGTCGGGTCAGTGGATATGATTATGACACGTGATGTCCGTTAGTATATATGCTCTAGTTTTTGGACGACATGGACACCAATGTCCCAAAAGTATGACGAGGGTATCTGCATCATTTACGATAATTCGGATGTATATTTGTGCTTTTTCCCTAATTTGTATGCCAAAATCTTCTACATGTAGCTTTTACTTTGTAAGTAGATACTCCCTATTTCCAATTTATATGAGTTATTTTTCTTTTTAGTCCGTCCCAAAAAGAATAACACATTTCTATACTAAGTAACATTTAACTTTAAATTGTCCATTTTACCCTTAATGAAATGATTTATAGTCACACAAATTTTTATTATTCATTTCGGACCACAAGTTTTAAAAGTCTTCCTTTTTTTCTTAAATTTCGTACCGAGTCAAACTATCTCACGTAAAATGGGACGGAGGAAGTATATGGGATCTATTCCTAGTATGCAAAAAAAAAAAAAATGATGCCTCAGAATATTAGAAAGCAAATTAGGAAAACCTCTTTGCCTCTTTGGTTGGAAAGGAATATAAGTTGCTTTGAGAATTGGAAGAATCATTTAGCTAGTGTGAAGAGTAGATCTCTTCAAAATGTTTACTTTTGGAGTAGGACAAGTATAATAATCCTTTTATGATTTTCTTGCAATATGACCCGTTTAACCATAACAATTAGGGCTCTAACAATTATTCACTTTTTTTCCAAATATAGCTTGACGTTGTATTTGAAATTTGAAAAACACTCCTCTATCCCGTTTGAAACTAATAACGAATTAACTTCAGCAATAATCTTGGCAAATCGTTAAGAGCTTATCATCTACATTTGAGAGCTTAACTATGCTTTCACTTATCATATACATTCCGAATTTCAGCTTCATATCAGCCAACAGAAATGTTGAAAACAAAGAACTTCAGAAAGAAAAGAAAAAAAAACAGATCAAGACTAACCAATATACACATTTGATATGTGAGCAATTTTGTGCCAGTCCTCTCCAATTCCCCTCTCACACCGCTTTGCCACTTCTGGACAGCCAGTAACTCTTAAACTTGTGAGGCCTGTTAGGTTCTGCAATCCCTCCGGTAAACATTTTAGCATGTTACAGTGTTCAACAAATAACTCCGTGAGTGAAGTTAAACCTTCCAGCCCTTCCTCGGGGAGACTCTCTAGTGCGTAACAATAACGAATATCCAGACACTTCAAATTATTGAGACTAGCCAAGCTGGTAGGCAGCTCTTTGAGATTCTCCAAGTAAGAGACACTCAAGTATTTGAGATTTTCAAGGCTTTTGAACATCTCTTCTAAGAGTGAAATCACTGTGTGGTTACTGAAAATCTTGAGTGATGTAAGAGTGCTAAGATTAGATATGGAGCTCAAACCTCTTGCATCTGCCTCCCCCCAAATTTCTAATTTCTTCACAGAAGAAAGGGTTGGAAAAACAAACATAGGGCAATCAGAAATCTTCATCTCTTCAAGCACAGGGAATTGCTCTTCTCCTTCCATTCTCTGCAATCCTTTCAGATTACAAAAGCCACCTATATGAAGTTTTCTCAGGGATGGAAACCTTCTTCTTGTGGGGAATCCAGAATCTTCAACATACTCCACCTCCACAGACCCGTCTTGTAACTCTAGACTTTCTAGACAAGGCAGCTCACCAAAGGGTGGTAAGCACGAGCAGTTTTCACAACCGTTAATTAGAATAGAGACAACCTTTTTCAAAACTGAGTGATTCATCCAGTCTGGGAGACAGAATCCACAGAAGTCAATGATTTCTAAATATTTCAGATTGGGATGTGGTTTGAGGGCTTCAAGCACTTTAACTTCTTCGGATTCATATCAGTGTGGTCCATCCCAACTCATGCTTAAAGAGTGCAGATTTGCTTTTGCAGATAAATTGGCTTCTTTTGCCTCCATATCGTTTTTCACTCTCTCAAGATGTGTGATTGAAATTGCACCACGGAGGTTTAAATTTCGTAGTTCACCAAGTTGATAACCTTTCCTCTCGCCCACAAGAAAGTAACTTAGTGTCTTAAGGCATGTCAACAATCCTATTCTTGGTGGCATAGCAGTCAATGGACAGTGATCAAATACAAGATTCCGGAGACTACCAAGCTTGCTTATTTGTTTCGGCAAACAAGAAAGTGACTGGCAATTATGTAGATCAAGAGTCTGCAGATTTTGAAGCCTGCACAACCTCTTTGGAAGACTACAAATTTTATTACCAGACAGGTCAAAGTATCTTAAATTTACTAGATCTCCAACGGAAGACGATAACTGTTCAAATTCTGAGTTACTTAGATTAAGCACCCTTAACGAGACAAACCTTTTAAAGAGCGAAGGAGAGTAAGAAGACACCACTTCGGAGAAACCAATGGACATCATATCTTTATAATCTGTTACAATGAACATCATATCTTCATCATCTTTTACATTTATTTGGCGGATACTTCTGCTTGATGCGCTTGCTGAAAACATAGATGTAGCCAAATCATGGATGAGATCATGCATCTTGAAATAAGTTTTACCAGATTTAACTTCAATCTCTTGGAAAAAAGACCTCAAATATAATTCATTCCATACTTCATTGCCCACATCCTCTAGCTCCATGTTTCCTTTTGATAAAAGAAAACTGTGTGCCATCCAGAGAGCGATGAGATATTCCTTTTCTATTTTGGTGCCCTTTGGGAATACCGCGCAATATGCAAAACATTGTCTCAAATCAAGTGGAAGATGATGATAACTCAGCCTCAGGGCAGGCAAAACAGAATTTTCATCTTGAGGTAAATTCCAAATCTCACTATCTCTCACATGTTCCCATTCACTTTCTTCCCTCTTCAAGCATAAAAGACCTCCAAGAGTCTTGGCTGCTAGAGGCACACCCCCACATTTCTTCACAATCTCCTTTCCGATTTCCATAAGTTTAGGACTTGTTTCGGTTTGGTGGCCAAATGCACGTTGCTTGAACAACAACCAACAATCTTCTTGAGATAAATTTGATAACTGATATAGTTGCAAAGTTCCCATAATTGATCCAATCTTTTCAAGGCGAGTAGTAATTAGAATTGAAGCACCACTTGCTCCAATCTTCAATACTGCTCTAAGATTATCCCACTTTTCTTGATCTTCATTCCAAACATCATCCAAAACAAGAAAGTATCTTTTTCCGTTCAACAACTCCTGAAGCTTTTTCTGGAGCGGAGCCAAGTCCATGTCACCCAGTGACTTTCCTTCAATAGATTCTACAATTGCCTTAATCAACCTCTTCTCATCAAAATCATCTGAGACACAAACCCATATCTTTAGATTGAAATGCTCAGTAACTCTCTGATCATTGAAGACCATTTGGGCTAGAGTCGTCTTTCCTAGTCCCCCCATACCAAGTATTGGGAGTACTGGAACTTCTTCGGAATCACTAGCATTGTTTATCAAGATTTTCACTATCTCATCCTCTTCTTTGTCCCTTCCATTAACTTTTGGCTCAGTTAAAACAAAACCTGCTCCAAACAAGAATGTTGTTACATTCAAGCTCATTAGGAGTCAACAGAAAATAGAGAAGATATTTGCACAGTAGGGGGGAGTTGAAGTGAAGGATTGAGAAAATCATGCTGAGTGAGTGAGACAGAGATTAAGATTAGAGAAAATCTTTGAAACTTTCCCTCAGCTTAAAAACACACATGACTTTGATAATTGCCAAAAATAAAAATGAATATAAATTCCTTCGTTTCTCTGCAATTTGTAATACTTAGTTGTTTTAAAATAAAATTAAGATGAGCACCTGTTTGCCGTCTAGCAGCTTGTCTCTCTATAATCCTTTCATCCAAATGAAAATTCCTCCGTTCCTCTGCAATTGCATCTAGTTTTTCCATCATTTCTTTCATTCTTTTTCCCACCTTGTAACAGAAAGTGATGGTCCGTGGATGATAATGCCTCAATACAGCCTGCTTGAATCTTGCTGCCTCAGTTTTACAGTCATCCAAGATGTCATCAACTTCATATGCAGCAACGTTGAGTTTCTGTAACCAGTTCTTTATTGCCTTGTACTTCAGTTGCTTCTCTTGAGCATCTTCTAGCACAGCTTGGATCATTGAAAACATACTTGAAAGTTTTTTAAACTCCTTCTCGAAACCAAAAACCAATCCAAGTTCCCCTTGGATGAAAAAAGTGAGATCATCTAGCAGAACTTGAAGGAAAGCTCCAGCCATATGTTGAATTCACTATAAAATATACTAGATTACTGGAATTGTAACACAAAATTATGCAAGTAAACAATGAATCTATATTCTTGAAACAAAGTAAGATGTTGGAATGAAATATGGACAGTTCAAAGTTGACTTGAGCAGGGCATGGACTTGTAATAATTAATATATTATCTTTTCTTGTGGTTGGTGATCAACTTTGTGCATATTGATTAATCTACCAATAACTTAATGCCTTCAACTAGCTATTTTGGACCCATTCAAATAGTCATCCATTCAACTACTTGTACCAAAAAAGACTCAAGTCCCTTCATATACACAAGGACAGTAGCCTTCTCTGACTAGCTATTTTCCTGGAGGATCAAGAACCGTTTGAACGGCGTTGGAAATTCATTATATCCCGACAGCTTTCCGATGGAATGGGACATCAGAAATTGGCAAGTTTCTGGTAGTAAGATGTTCAACAACTTGATTATGAAGGTTAATATACAAATGTACTACAGGTGTAATGAAATCAATACATTCACACTTTTAGAGATCTGGAGAATGCACGAATTAACAATTTATTATCCAATTACAGGAGAAAGAAGGCAAACTGAACATTTTCACCATGCAATTTATAAACAAAACAATCAAGCTGATGGAAGGATGTCCAAAGCAACTTCTTTCAAGGATGGCATTGATTCCTGCTGATGCAAGCAGATGTAGGTACTTCCTACTCTTCGGAAAACTTTCCAAGGACCAGGGTAACACCTAGTTTTCAAAAGACAGTCAAAGTAAAAAAGAAAACGAGCAAAATTCAAGTAATAACGAAACAATCTAAGAAATAGTTCAGTCATTCGAAGCTTTGGTAAAAGAGATTACCTAAACAGGACTCCTCCATTTCGTCCTTTAAAATTGTGAATATAATATACCGTCTCCATCTTAGGAAAAAGAGTCTTGGATAGTGCAGCCAGCTTCGGATAGAAGAATGGTGGATAATCTTATTTTTGTCAAAGATAACAGGGAATACAGTAACTTAACATGGAACAATTGTTAAGAAGATCTCATTTCTTAAAAGGCAGAAATATATATATACTATGATGTCCATCCTATTTCCGCTGCAGAAAGTTATTCATTGCCACAATAAGCAGACAATCATGCAGAGCAATAAGGAACATTTATTCTTTGATCAGATTGAAGGAAAAAAATATTGGTGGTAAGAAAGGATACAACCAGATCTTATTCGATCAAGCTCTCCGTTGAATATAATCAGTTTCCTAGAAGTGTTTGACACTGCTGCTTTGTATAGCTCTTCCACGACAAGCATCTCTACATTTCAGAAATAAATGATGCCATCATAACATTTCTATGAAATCGATCATTTGATGTACACTATATATGGTGCGAGAGCTCGATGTTACCATTGACATTAAAGTATGGATAGGCGACAATAAAGAGTTCATCTTCTGGCTTGACACGGTCAACCATCTTGACCTTTTCGGTGAAACCGAAATCCTCGAAAAAAGAAGGCTTTGTCAAATAGTCCAACTTAAAAGATGCTCCTCCAAAAATTGATTGTCTTGCGAATTTTACTTCATTAGCCTCCGGGAAAAACTGAAAGGTTTAATGCAAGTTTGATACATCGCACCTGGTAGAGTAAAAGAGCTTAATGGGAAAAGAGGTGATCACAAACATTAACAGGGAACACTAATTTTGAAGTAGAAGAAGATGAAACTATTTCGGAGCAATATGATAGGAGGAAAAAGCAACACCACTAGTTTTGTAGCACCATTCGTTTAACATAAATATGAAACATCTTCGCTTCTTGTCTTAGTTGTAATGACAGCTTACATGTGAAACAAGAAATCAAGGTAGCTTGATGCTGCGATATAGAGAAATAATTAACAACGGCAAAGCTCATGCATGGACACAACAGAGATGGACTCTGCAAATAGCCGAAATTTGGTTTATTTTGTATAATGTGGCAAATAGAAGAATTAAGCCCACACTCTATGCAGTACAGTACAACAGTAAAGGATTAAGTAACAGCTTTTCCACGCCAATTTTCTGAGTACTTCATTTATGGTTAAAATTTTCCTTATTTATTTTCCGAACTACCAGATGATTGTTTCCTCCAATAGAATGTATATTTGTCTCTAAGTGGAGTAAACCAAATTAAAAGAGCAATAGCTAGCAAGAGAGTCTTTTCGAGACTCACAGTGTATACTATAAAATTCATTCGGAACCAGAGACTTACAATTCTGGTCTTTGTGGCTTTCTCTGGTATAACCAAGAGATCACAGAACTCACGTATTAGTTGTATACTTCCAGTCATTTCTATTCCACCCTCACCGTCACCTGTTGATAGTTAACACGAGATTAAAATCACCTCACATGAATGGGAGATCAGTGAGCTAGTGTAGATTATACCGATCTTCACATGCCCAAATCAGGAGAAACTGTCAAGTAAGGAGGACAATTAGGCATAACCTGGTACAGAACCCAACCCAGCAGTTGGAAATTCAATTTCCTGGTACAAGAAAGTTTTTGCTCTTTAAGTCCACGGAAAGTATTGATACTGTATTATTTCTTACAAGTGTTGTTATCACTTGAAGACATACAGGGAAATTTGACTGACCATCAGTTGTCTGTTATCCTTCAATGCCAATTCAGTTGCTTCTTTAGCCTGTTAATCATGAAATTCCGGAATTATGATTGAAGAACTGCAGCACAGACTTAAGAAAGTGAAATGAATAAAATGAGTATGCCATGAGCAACAAGATAAGCATTATTCATAAAATGGACATTTGAAATAGAAAAAGTTTTAGAGTGGTAGTGTATGACATTTCAAGAATTTTAGAACCAAAAAAATATCATGTAATGGACATGAACTGTTATGTCTTTTAGTGAGTGTTTAATCAAGTTTTCACTTATCGTCTACATTCCGATTTTAAGCCCCAAAAGTGGACAGATTTGGCAGTTGATAAGAGCCACATAAAAAGTTTCAGCTGCACATTTACAAACATAAATCTTGAGAAGTGCAAGAGCTTAACAGAAACACAGTCTGATAGATGGTAATCAGACATGATGTGCATAAAAAGGTACAAACGGTAGCTTGACATTTCCAGATGTGATATATGAATTTGCAGTAAGAGGGATAAGAGCCTTCAATTATGAGAAATTTACAGTTAGCAAGAACCAGCTAGGTCAAGAAGACCATCAGCTTATAAGGAATTCAAGCAAGTATTGGTTTGTCAGTCTTGTAGGCGCACATCAACACCTGTTCATAAGGGCTTTGGGATAAGAATCCACATAGTCTTCTCAAGGCAGCATGAGAGTTACATGGTATGGATAGACACACTCTTTGTCAAGTAGGGATGGAATTCCCATTTCCGAAGGCAATCAAAGTGATATAGCAGAAACCACGGCAAACATTCGAAAGACAAAATGTAGTTTATACTTTTATCTAGAGAAAGCTAGCAACAACTAAAACAAGTGGAGCCAAGATTTGAATTTTACGGGCTCATAACTTGCCACCAAATTCATAGCCTGTCTTAGTTACTGGGTTTGTAATTAAGTATGTATCCATATTAAATTGACCTCCCAATACAAATATAGAGTCTAAGCAAAAGCTATTGGGTTTGTCCGAACCCATAAGTAATACTCTATCTCCGCCCTTGGCAAATAATTACCTTAATCTCCCTGCAATAGTTAAGGAAATATGAAATGGTAACGTAGTATGGTTAACAATAACTTGGTGGAAAAAGGGGTTTTTTTAAAAATAAAAAAACTTTTTGTTGTAATGTGAGTGTAAAAAGTGGAGAATCTTAGTAGCTTAGTCAGTCCGAGGGTTCAATTCCCCCACCTTGTAATCCCTTCCCCCATTTCCCCTACCCCTACCCCTACCCGCAATTTTAAGGGGAGAAAAAGCGAATAGAATGAATACTTGTTGAAGTAATTCAGTGTAGTCCTTAGGGAATGGCACATCAAACCCAATTGAAACAGCTTTATCACCAGAACAACTGATAGCAAATTCAAAATTTCTTGAAATCTTCACATTTCTCTTCAATTTAAACTTTCTCCAGCTGAAATCCTACAACATAATCCACAAAAATCAATCGAAATCGAAATCGAAAAAACAAAAAGTTGTGTAGAAAGCATAATTGTGATTTTCTTTTTAACAGTAAAACAACATATACAAAGTAATCAACTTATCAAATGAAATTATTCTAAATTCCCAACAAAATTAGAGAAAAGTTACCTGTGGAGTAAGAGAGGAAGGAACTGAAACAGCAACTGTCAGTGCAGTTGGGGAAGTGGATAACCACATTTTGAATTCTAACCACAAGGAGAGAGAAAAAAATGACTCAAAAGATTTAACAATAAAGTGTATTCCCCTCTTTATAAGCCATGAAAAAAAGTTTATATCCATTAGCTAATATACATAATTATTGTATTTTTTTTTAGAAATTTTAGTACCTTAGTTAGTTGGTCGGTCTAAATTTTCACTTTATTGATTAGGTTTGATTGTCCACCTTATAATCTCCTTTCCTATTTTGAAAGATATATATTTGATTTTTTAGTACATTACAAAAAAAAATGTTTGATTCACTTTTTTTTAAAACTTTTTGATTTAAATTTTCACATGAAATATTTAAGACCGCAATAACAATAACATACTCAGTAAAATATCATAAGTAAGGTCTGAGAAGGTAAAGTGTACGCAGATCTTACCACTAGGGGTGTACATGCCAAACCGTAAAGTCATACCGAACTGACGAACCAAATCAAACGGAAAAAAAACTGATTTGTGGCTTGGTTTGGTTGATTTGGCATTGGAAAAAAAAACCGATCACTCTTGGTTTGGTTTGGTATTCAAAGAAAAAAAGTCAAATCGAACCCAAACCAAACCGACATAATATAAATATATAATTTTATTTTATTTTTCGATAAAAAATATTATTTATAATCTACTTTGTTAATATATTTTTAGTTAGTTTATAGTTTTCAATATTTATATATATTATTTCAAATTTGGGCTTGTAAAACTTTGTAAATATTTTATTTTGTACTAAGATCAGAAATTACAATAGTATTATTATAGTTTTTCAAATTCGTAGTTAACAATTTACTTTGTAAATATTTCTTTTTGTATTCAGTTTGATTGTAGCCTTTGATCTTATTAATTTAACATATTGAACGTTTATATTTCAAAAAAAAAAATTGTACTCATGTGAATTTTATCGTCTTTTCAAAGATTTCTATTCGTTTAACATTTTTTAAGTTTAACTTATCACACAAGTAAGTGAAAATATATTTGATCTCTTTTTCAAACACCGTATAGTTGGAAAAAACCAAAAAATTGAAAAAAAAAATGAAAGAACCGACTAAAGCCGAAACCGAAAAACGTAACTTTATGTGGTTTGATATGATTATTAGATTTAATAAACCGACATAATTGATTTAAGTTTTTTTTAATAAAAAAACAAACTAAACCAACCTATGTACAACCCTTCTTACCTCTATCTCATGGAGGTAGAGATGTTGTTTCTGAAAGACACTCATGTACAAAGAAGAAAACAGTTTAGAAAACATAGCAACTAACATCATGAACTAACAAAATAGTACGATAATCAAAATAAAGTAGACAATTGATGATGTGCGAGATATTAAAAGTAAAAACAACAATAACATTCGATTTATATCAGTACCAAAAGTCAATGACTACATGAACATGCTAATACGAAAAAATCTTGATATATTCTTTTTTTATATATAAAAAAAAAACATTGATTTTTTCAAAGGAAGAGGAGACCTAGTAAAAAAGAAAAGAAAAAAACATGGCCGACGAAGTTCAGCCAGTCAACCAGAGGTACGGAGAATTGTTGGTATATGCAGTTATCATGAAATATATAAAGTCCACACACTGCTCAGCTGAGCAAACCAGACACTTTGAATTGGTCAATATATCTTTACTGGATTCAATACATGGCGGAAGCTTTTCTTCAAGTTCTGCTAGAAAATCTCAATTCTTTCATAAGAGGGAAACTTGTATTGCTTTTCGGTTTCGAAAAGGAATTTGAAAAGCTGTCCAGTGTGTTTTCCACAATTCAAGCTGTACTTCAAGATGCTCAAGAGAAGCAATTGAAGGACAAGGCAATTGAGAATTGGTTGCAGAAACTAAATTCTGCTGCGTATGAAGTTGATGACATATTGGGCGAATGTAAAAATGAGGCAATAAGATTCGAGCAGTCTCTATTAGGGTTTTATCATCCAGGGATTATCAGTTTCCGTCACAAAATTGGGAAAAGGATGAAAGAGATAATGGAGAAACTAGATGCAATTGCTGAGGAAAGAAGGAAGTTTCATTTCCTTGAAAAAATTACAGAGAGACAAGCTGCCGCTGCTACGCGTGAAACAGGTGTGAGTACTGAGTAATAGTAGCTTAGTTTATATTCAATTTGTTACCACATCGTGTGTTCACCGTGATCTCTACAGTAGGATGGCAATGGGGCGGGGCGGGGTTGGAGGTGTGCAGGTGTGGGGCGCAATCCCAACTTTGAGTCTGCACAAGTAGGTACTTAAATTTGTATAGAGTTAAACAAGTACACACGCATCCTACTTGGTGTCCTACATGGCTCTTATGTGTATTATGTCATATAGGATGCATGTGTCTATTTGTTCAATTTTATACGAGTTTAAGTTCTACTTGTGCACACCCAAATGAAAGTTGGAGGGCGTAGATGTCAGTTGATACCAAGTTAAAAATTCATATTAATGAATTATGCCTTTAAATTATGATTCAATTTTATATCAGTCTGTCCAAAAGATGTTCTAGTGAAAGTGTTAAACTTAGCCTGGATCTGCTATTGGAAGTGTGAATTTTTGTGGCACTAAACAATGCAATGGGTCTGGATTCATTTTTGCATTAACATTTGTTTAGACGATTTTCTTTATCGAATTTTACTGTCTAAAAAGGAAAAAGCAAAGAAATAAGACGTATACAGAGGCTGACTTCTTCATAGGATTTCTCATATAAAAAAAAAACATTGATTTCTAGGATATGGGTTATTTTAAATTACAAATTTGTGAGTTAAAACAGTTCTGTTGGGAAGGATTTAGATACACGTGGATAGTATCTAGAAGTTTTTTAAATAAAAAATTAGCAAATTATGTGGGCTGGGGCGGGTTGAAAACAGCAAACTTTGCAAGGCAGGGCGGGTTGAAATCATTGCAAGTTTGTGTGGGTTTGCCCTGCACCACCCCATCTGCCATTCCTGTCTAAATGTTTGTTTTGTCTATATAATTCTTGCTGACTCATTCTAATGAGCTCAATTGTAACAAATTCTTTGTGTCCACACTACTTGGAACAGGTTTTGTGTTAACTGAACCAAAAGTCTACGGAAGGGACAAAGAGGAGGATGAGATAGTGAAAATCTTGATAAACAATGTTAATGTTGCCGAAGAACTTCCAGTCTTCCCTATAATTGGTATGGGGGGACTAGGAAAGACGACACTTGCCCAAATGATCTTCAATGATGAGAGAGTGACTAAGCATTTCAATCCCAAAATATGGGTTTGTGTCTCAGATGATTTTGATGAGAAGAGGTTAATTAAGACAATTATAGGAAATATTGAAAGAAGTTCTCCTCGTGTCGAGGACTTGGCTTCATTTCAGAAGAAGCTCCAAGAGTTATTGAATGGAAAACGATACTTGCTTGTCTTAGATGATGTTTGGAATGATGATCTAGAAAAGTGGGCCAAGTTAAGAGCAGTCTTAAATGTTGGAGCAAGAGGTGCTTCTATTCTAGCTACTACTCGTCTTGAAAAGGTTGGATCAATTATGGGAACGTCGCAGCCATATCATTTGTCAAATTTGTCTCCACATGATAGTTTACTGTTATTTATGCAACGCGCATTTGGGCAACAAAGAGAAGCAAATCCTAATCTAGTGGCCATTGGAAAGGAGATTGTGAAGAAATGCGGTGGTGTGCCTTTAGCGGCCAAGACTCTTGGTGGTCTTTTACGCTTCAAGAGAGAAGAGAGTGAATGGGAACATGTGAGAGATAATGAGATTTGGAGTCTGCCTCAAGATGAAAGTTCTATTTTGCCTGCTCTAAGACTGAGTTATCATCACCTTCCAGTTGATTTGAGACAATGCTTTGCGTATTGTGCAGTATTCCCAAAGGACACCAAAATGATAAAGGAAAATCTCATCACTCTCTGGATGGCCCATGGTTTTCTTTTATCAAAGGGAAACTTGGAGCTAGAGTATGTGGGTAATGAAGTATGGAATGAATTATACTTGAGGTCTTTCTTCCAAGAGATTGAAGTTAAATCCGGTAATACTTATTTCAAGATACATGATCTCATCCATGATTTGGCTACATCTCTGTATTTGGCAAGCACATCAAGCAGCAATATCCGCGAAATAAATGTCAAAGATTATAAGCATATAATGTCCATTGGTTTCGCTGAAGTGGTGTCTTCTTACTCTCCTTCGCTCTTGAAAAAGTTTGTCTCGTTAAGGGTGCTTAATCTAAGTTACTCAAAACTTGAGCAATTACCCTCTTCCATTGGAGATCTATTACATTTAAGATACCTGGACCTGTCTCGCAATAACTTCCGTAGTCTTCCAGAGAGGTTATGCAAGCTTCAAAATCTTCAGACTCTTGATGTGCATAATTGCTACTCACTTAATTGTTTGCCAAAACAAACAAGTAAACTTAGTAGTCTGCGAAATCTTGTTCTTGATGGCTGTCCATTGACTTCTACTCCACCAAGGATAGGGTTGTTGACATGCCTTAAGACTCTAGGTTTCTTTATTGTGGGAAGCAAGAAAGGTTATCAACTTGGTGAACTGAAAAACCTAAATCTCTGCGGCTCAATTTCAATCACACACCTTGAGAGAGTGAAGAACGATACGGATGCAGAAGCCAATTTATCTGCAAAAGCAAATCTGCAATCTTTAAGCATGAGTTGGGATAACGATGGACCAAACAGATATGAATCCGAAGAAGTTAAAGTGCTTGAAGCCCTCAAACCACACCCCAATCTGAAATATTTAGAGATCATTGCCTTCGGAGGATTCCGTTTTCCAAGCTGGATAAATCACTCAGTTTTGGAGAAGGTCATCTCTATTAGAATTAAAAGTTGCAAAAACTGCTTGTGCTTACCACCCTTTGGGGAGCTGCCTTGTCTAGAAAGTCTAGAGTTACAAAACGGGTCTGCGGAGGTGGAGTATGTTGAAGAGGATGATGTCCATTCTAGATTCTCCACAAGAAGAAGGTTTCCATCCCTGAAAAAACTTCGTATATGGTTCTTTCGTAATTTGAAAGGGTTGGTGAAACAGGAAGGAGAAAACAAATTCCCCATGCTCGAAGAGATGGCGATTTTACATTGCCCTCTGTTTGTTTTTCCAATCCTTTCTTCTGTCAAGAAATTAGAAGTTCACGGCAACACAAAAGCAAGAGGTTTGAGCTCCATATCTAATCTTAGCACTCTTACTTCCCTCCGCATTGGTGCTAACTACAGAGCGACTTCACTCCCAGAAGAGATGTTCACAAGTCTTACAAATCTCGAATACTTGAGTTTCTTTGACTTCAAGAATCTCAAAGAGCTGCCTACCAGCCTGACTAGTCTCAATGCTTTGAAGCGTCTCCAAATTGAAAGTTGTGACTCACTAGAGAGTCTCCCTGAACAAGGGCTGGAAGGTTTAACTTCACTCACACAGTTATTCGTTAAATACTGTAAGATGCTAGAATGTTTACCCGAGGGATTGCAGCACCTAACAGCCCTCACAAATTTTGGAGTAACCGGTTGTCCAGAAGTGGAAAAGCGCTGTGATAAGGAAATAGGAGAAGACTGGCACAAAATTGCTCACATTCCTAATTTGAGTATATATTAGTGAGTTATTTGTAATTGTTTCTTGGGTTATTTTTTTGTCAGTCTCTCACAGGTTACAATTCCTGCCATTGGATTATTATAGCAAAGTTTGACTGTATGAGGAAACATTTAAAAAAAAAAAAGAAGGTAAATCGTTTAACATGACTTTTTTTTTACTGTTTAATTTAATATAAAAGGATTGTACTAATTTTCTATTTGAAAACTCTAATTTTAACCGTCCTAATTGAAGACTCTAGAATGTGTTGTTGGTAATTAATTTATGTGTTAAATGTCCTTATCTTAAACTTTATTTTGAGTCTAAATGTTTAATTTTAGCAAATGAAATGGAGGGACCGACCCATACGCAAATAGGTAGTAACTGTAGTATGATAAAAAGTCACAACAATATGAAACTGATGGTCCAAGTGTGTGACGTGACGGAACTATAGGCCACCACTTTGACACCATATTTATGGCCTATGGGGTGTGTTCGGTAGGAGGGTATGACGGTCGCAAATAAGCTTAGAAAATTAGTAGGTAGTTGAGAGTTGTCCTTTTACTAGTCTAATCATGTATTTGGCTTGGTGAATGGTGATAGTATTTAGCATCGTGTCGGTCGTAGTAGTATTTGAATTTTGGTATATGATATTATATGTGGTGCTCTTTGTTTAGGTGATCACACTTTCTTGTTGTTGTTGTTATGGTTCCTTGTATAATGCTCTGTACCGTTTTACTATTAGTTATCATGTTTTTCTTCACCGTCTTTTTTTTTAAAATTATTGTTGTGATTTATTTGAGCCGGAGGTCTTTAGGAAATAATCTCTCTACTTCGGAGAGGTAATAATAAGGCATATTTTATGGGATTTTACTGGTATGTTGTTATTGTTGTGTACGGTAGGGAGGAAAATATTTTTCACAAAAAATATTTTATAAGAAGATTACTATAAAATAAATTATCATCCTAAAAGTATTTATATATAATTTAGATAATTGATATAGGAGGTGGGAGTAGTAGGGAGGTAGGGGTGTAGGATGATGGGATGAAGGTTATTGAGTTGGGGTTGAAGATGAGGTATGTTGGAGGGTGGGCAAGACAGACAATCAATGTGAAATATTATCACTAGCAGAACTTATATTGTCTACTTTTATTAGAAAAATCACTTTTTATTTTTAAAATATTTAACCAACCGAACATGAGAAATAGAAATTCTTACCAAACACACCCTATTAGTTTTATGTTGTAGTTAGACATACTTTTATCCAAATATTATTTCCGTTTTAAATATGACTATTTTTTAGTTAGATTTCAAACGGTGGCTAATAAATATTAATTAACAAGCAATTAAAAAAATTGGTGTCAAATTAAAACCAGACAAATAAATTGAAACGAGGGATAGAAGTAATGAAAAAAGATGTTATAGACAAACATCTTTACTTAAACATTTCTTCAATAAGAGTTTCACCAATTCCCTGTACTACAAATTATCCCTTCCTTGCAACAAATGAAATAATTACATAGATAGAGGGCAATAAAATCTATAATAAGAGCTTCATGTAACAAGTTAAACTCTGGGTTCCTAGTACACTTTAGAGTAAAATACATAATCTTGACCTTATATGATTACATTTCCAATCTTCCATTTGAAAATTGTTTGGCTTCCAATACAGCTGAGTTCATGCCAATAAAGTCATAGCTACTTCTGGAGTTCAAATCGAACCTAACGGAAGTTTCTTCAAGTTTAATATTCATAATCTTCTTTTGTTCTCCCTCCGTTAAGTATGTAGACCTTTGTAGATCCTTATTAGTATCATCTTGTGTCCTTTTACCTGCAGATGTTTCATCCCCGTTGTGTCCGTGCATGTAGTCCATTAAATTTGAGAGAGCTATATTGAAATCTGTAAGCTGAGCTCTTGTTTCGTCTACAGCACTAGGAGAGTTCATATCAGTGGACAGGCTCTTCTGAGCTTTATCTAGTATTGCTTGCAAGTACTTTCCCTGTGCCTCTATTCTCATTTGCAGCTTCTGTTGAACCTTTTAGAACAAAGAAACAAAATAAACGAGGTCTAATAAATACGATATCAAGGAACTAAAGTTGAATGATATGGTGGTGTAAGACCAAGTTTGGACAATTACTTCACAAATCATTGCGTTTTTGCTCGTTAGGACTAGGAATTGTTCTAGAGAAAAGGTTTAATGTGTACCTCAAGCTGCTCGTGTAATCTTTTCTGGACGTCAATCTGACGCCTCAGTGCCTCACTAATTGGAGCTTCTCTGTTAAGATATAAGCATCTATTAGCAACAACACAATGTGTTTTAATGTAATACCAGTGTAGGCAACTGTACTTGAACCAATTTTCAAGATTCAACAGAGAAAATGCAGCTCAAATATAAATCTATAAACTACTGAAGTTCGAGGACACTATTGCTCTCACGGAAATATTTAGAGGCAAACTCTCATGGAGAGATATTAGATAACTGGAAAGACGGTATAAGTATAACCAACAGTTGAATTTCCTGGCACCTACCCTTGCATACCATCCATGCTTGATGAAGTGATACTCGGTCCTGAGGAATGCAAACTGAATTGTCCGAAGGACTCCCCTGCTACAGTGAAAAACATAAGGAGTAATACAAGATCTACTAAATAAAATGTAAGGATCATGAAAAACTCTAGTTACCTATGGGAGAAGCATTACAAAATTTACTATTTTTCGGGCTCTGATAGATCATTTATATGTTAAATATAGCACTTAATACAACTATCAAGCATTACACTACAAATTTAAGAAAGGAGGTCAATGTCCACTTTGTTTTCCAGTTAAGCATTCAATTGTCTTTCAAAATCATCCAGAACTTACCTATATTCTCTCTGTTTTGATCTGCTGTATTTTGTTTCTTGGTCTGCTGTCCAAGTCTATACTTCTGCAGGATGAAAAAGGGAGAAAACCGCCTAATGAGTTTTCGACAGGGCAAAAACATCAATGAATAGAGATGCAGAAACCTGACTCTACCTGCAAATGACTCTTCAAATGATACAATGTCAAGCCCTTCAATCCCATTAACCTTAGTACTGACTTTGGAGTTGCTTCTGCAAATTCAAGGCCTTTTAATAAACATCGCAGACTCTTAAATAGAAACCACAAATCCAACACATTGTTAACTCATCAGTACAAGCGAGAAAGTACACCAAAAAGCCCTGTTCCTGTGAGACTCATGGGGAGGACGTAATCTAACCTCTTCGCTTTAGCATTGACCTCATTTCTAAGTTGTATTTAGTTATCAGATTACTAATTCTATGGCAAAAATATGCATAATAAATCAATGCCTATTGACAACCACATACAACTAAATCTTATAATGACACTCCACAATGTAAAAAGTTTATCACCCATTAAAAGAAACAATTACATTACATCAATCCCAAGCCAACTTGCGCACAACTTGACTAATTCCACATATACATGCTACCCCACCACCACCACCACCACATATACCGAACAACTTTCTTTATTAACCACTACGCTACACCCTTAGGTGCCATTACTGATTTAACACTATAACAAATGTAAGAAAACAGAACAAAAGAAAAACAGCAACTCACTATCAGGTCCACCAAGCTTAGTTACAGCATCAACAAAACGATCATGTAAATCAGCAGTCCACCTCAATCTTGGCTTTGGGTCCCTTGTCATCACCACCCCATTTTCATACCCATACCCCATATCTCCTCCACCATTATACATCCTATCCATGAACACCACCACCCCCAAATTCCTCAAAATCCTCAAAACTCCTACACAAGTCACTAAAAACACTAAATTTAAACACCCAAAAAGCTTATCAAGTAAAATAAACAGTTTCAACAACTCCAAAGTGGAAAAAGAACCAAATGATCAACTAAAAATTGAATCTTTTTTCTTTGGTTTGGGGGTCGATAAAAAGAGTCAAAGAAACCAAATACAGAAGAATTTGCTTTAAAACTTTGTATAATAGTAATCCGTACATGCAGACGTGATTAAAAATTAATTAAATTTTTGCAGAGAAAAGGGAATCTATAATTTTTGATAAAATAAAAAGAACACGGAGAGGAAAGATCGGCGTGGAATCTGAAGAAACATATGAGCGCCGAAACTATATTTATTTTTTATTTTTATTAATAAAGCAAATGTCGGAACTCGATTCCGTGTTGCTCAGCTATATGTATTTTTATTTTCCTACCATATTCATATTGGAGTTTAATTAAATTTGGATAATGTCAAAAAATTCTATATTGGACTGAAGTATCCCTACAAAAGACAACTTCACATTCAATTCTATATTGGACTAAAGCGTCCCTAACAAAAGATGATTTCGTATTCAAGAGACTCAATTTCAAGATCCTAAAATAAATGAAAAATGAAGAAATATTTATAACCCACAATATTAGGTAACTATATGAATTTATTACTCAACAGTGGTAGTCGGTGATTGGAATTTTGGGAGGTGTGGGCCCGATGAGGAGCGAATGGAGAAGTGGCACGTAGGTGACAGCGTGGAATATTCGGCGAAGAATGAGGAAAAGAGAATATTAGTACAATCACGTGCCACGTACTCCCAAATACTATTAACCAATAGTTGGTGATAGTCCTCTAGACGTGGAAATAATAGGGATTTTAATAAATTTTTATCAGGGTGGACATTCAGTTCTTCGGTTAAATTTTTTCAATTTTCAATTTTAAAAATGTGTGCAGCGAATACCAAATCAAACTAATTCGATGTGGTTGGATTCCATTTTTTAACTTCGGCCGGTTTAATTTGGTGTTTTACAATGATTTTTCGATGTAAATGAAAAATAAAATGAGAAAAAAATCAAAGTATAGGATACAAAAAAAATTAAAATCATGCAAAGTGATGATGTGTCTCACCATAGAATACTTAATTGTACTTAAAAGACCATATTTGTTTTCTCAAGACAAGAACATTGTGCATTCAATTACTGCTCGAGGAAAACAAGGATAAGACGATTTCCTTTACATAATGTATGTCGACAAAAACCCGTTTGAATTCCTTCTTGGAAATTAATATTTGAAGTTAGCAATCTAAATTATAAATCTATTGCTACTTTAATTTGTTCATGAATGATTTATTTACTAGTTGACTTTTGTTTTTCTGGTTAAGAAAATGTCCATATATATATTATTTTTATTTTTGTTATGAATTCACCTGAATTTAGTAACCTTAGTTTACTAACAAATTAAACGTTGATAAATATTTATCGTAAACTCAATTATTGTTATTATATATTGATTTAAAGTCATCGTACAAATTTGTAGACTTAGAATTCTAAATTCATCTTTCGTAATTTTTCTTTTCCGATACTCCACGACAAGAAAATCATTTTACTCATTTTCAAAGTCATTTGGTGTAGTTTCGTAGTAGGATTTACCCCAAGAATTCACTTTTAATTTATTTATTTCCAAAACTAGTTTTCCTCTTTCATGAAAAGTTGTGACATTTATGAAAAGTTGTGACTTTTATGAAAAGT